TTTTAAAGACACTCTGTAGCCCCAGCACTCTGGGAGACTGAAGCAGGAATACCGCAAAGTGGAGCCTAGCCTGGGCAACTTGGCACTTAAAGAGACCCTGAGAGACAAAACAACACCAAGTTAGTTGCCTTAAGAAGGGGCGTGGGAGTGTTATTAGAAAGCTAGCATGAAGGAAGGGCCTCTAGGAAGAATTTTTCTAAAAGGAGCTTCCTCTTTCTCCTCTACTTTCCTGGGTTTCTGCTTCTTCAAAGTTTTAATCTGTACATAGTCAGTTCTAGCTTCACCAACCTCTCTCTGACTCCTTGACTTCAGTCCTTGGTCCGACTGGCAATTTATCTCCATACTATCTAATTCAAATTTCTTTTTTTTTTTTTTTCTTTTTTTCTTTTTTTTTACTGAACCAGGGACTAAACTCAGGCCCTTGAGCTTGCCAAGGAAGCACTTATTCTACTGACCCATCTCCCCAGCCCCCTGACTGAAATTTCTGAAAGGGTTGTTTCTGTTTGATGCTAGACCAGCATGTCCAAATTTTCTCTCTTGGGCCAAGCTCTGCATCAGATGCTCTATGGCCACATTTATGCCAGAAGCTTCAGAGCCAATCAACTATTATTCCCCCAACCCTTACTCCAAGTTATTTTAATTTTCTCAGAACCATTACTAAAGTAAGTATATTGTTAAAACAATTTTGCAATACTTATAAAACAAGTCTTGACAAGTCATGTTCACCCTGAGAAAAATCCAACATACCTCTTCACCAAACCAGTTACCCATTACAAATATGTAAAAAGTTAATAACTTCTTTTATTTCTAATGTGTACAGAAGGACTCTGCTGGATTGTTATCAGGGCTCAACAACAGTGGTTTCAAATGCATATTTATAAACCTTTAAAAATTTCCCATAGATGTATAACACAAAGAAATGAGGCATTTCCTGGTGAACTTCCATCCCATAATACCAGTACTTTTATATAAGAATAAGCACATACAATGGCAATCTATCACTAACCAACAAAACCTGTTTTTCTTCCTCCAAACTAACACCTCTAGGTAATGACTGAAGAAAGCTGCTCACCGCCAAGCTTCCATGTTGGGGAAAGAAGTGCGCTGACTGTGAGACAGGCACTGTTAGGCTGCTCTCTCCAGCTAACACAGATTCTCTATGCATTGTCTTCTACTTAAAAACGAGAAAACAAAAAACAAACAAACAAAAAAAAAAAAAAAACAAAAACTAGAAAACAAAATTCAACGTCTACTGGATCTAGAAGCACACCTGAACAAAATGAATTCTGTCCTTATGCCTTTTAGAATGAAGACTTGTCTATTTTAAAAATAATTAAGCATGTGTTAAAATTAGCCAACCTGTTTATAAACTATCATTGGTGACTCATTTTTGTTTTATCTGTATTAATGAGCAGCTCACTGCCATCACAAACAGCAGTTTATTGTTAATAAACATATAATCTCAACAAATCCATTTTCAGAGGACAGGTACTGGTAGCTTAGAATTCTAATGTTGCTCAAATTAGCCTTGAAGTTGTGATCCTCCTGCCTCAACCTCCCTCACAGATTACAGACATTGGCCACCACACCTGGCATAATTTCCTAAATTTTAAAAACATGTCAGGGATGGTGGTGCATGCCTACAACCCAGCACTCCAGGAAGCTAAGGCAAGAAGATTGCTACAGGTTCGAGCCCAGCCTGAACTATGTGGCTATCTCAAAAGCTGGAAAAAACAAACAAACACAAAGACAGTGTGTCAGTTGCCTTGCAGAAATTTAGTCAAACAATAAAAAGTTGTCCTTATTCTCTTGAATATAACTAGAGTAATAAGTCAAAAGACTCTCTGTAGCACAGCTATGTATTCCTAAAGCACAACAGACTGACTTCTTCTTTGCAAAGGATAAACTAGACAAGGGAAGTAGCTCAGCGGTAGAGCACTTGCCTAGCATGCATGAGCTCTGATCTCAGCACCACCAAAAGGAGATAGGGTGGGGGACAAAGGAGAAGCTTACAGTGATTTTTATTTACTTATTACGCTTATTTACAATAGTCAAACTAAAACATTAAGCACTTATATCTTTACCTTTCACAGAATTACTGTAGAATATTTAAGTCTAAGTCAAGAAATTCAAATTAAAAGCTATGAAGGTAAACCAGAGAACAGTTTAATAACCAAAAATCTATTCATGTATTACCAACTTTATAAAATGGAACACATTCTAAAGCGAAATATCCATTAAGTTGTGGGCAAAATTTCAAAAAAATGTGAAAAGGAAAGGAAGTCTTTCTCTCAAGTTGCAGTTCATGGCTGACCATGAGCCAAAACAGCTCTGGTGGCAACTGCAAACTTAAAAAAAAGGCCCATTTCTTGGTGTTGTTTTCAATCAAAACCTCTCTTGTGTTTGGAGTAAAATCAATTACAATACCATCCAATATAAATTACTCCTGAACTCAGCCAAGCCTAACACAGGCCAGAGGTTTCAAGGTAGTAAACTAGCAAATCCTTATATTTAACCAGTACAACATCGGGGCTGACATTTTCTCTGAAATCAAAACAACAGAGGCAATTTGAAAGGTTGCTATCTCCACTGATCCTCTCAGGAATGTGAATGTACTGCAGTTTCAACCTTGTAGTCCTTGAAGATTTTTTCAAGCAATTTATTTCTGCCTAGTCCACCAATAAAACAGGCCAACGCAGATGGGTTTTCTGTTAATCCTTAGTCTCAAACCTTCATGCTCACACTTATCTTACATTTTACTAATGCTCCTAAACATAATTATCCCAAACGTATTTAAAACCACAACTGAATTCAAAGGAAGAGTACTTTACGTCATTGAAGACAAAATGCAACTCAACACAATGCTAACATGACTGTATTATTTCTGGTAACCACAGTAGTTATAACTTAGGTAATAGTAATAATAAGAGTATAGATTTTATTTTTTAATTTTTTATTAGTTCATGTTTGCAATACACAATGATTACATTCATCGTGGAGAACTGGTACGTGTACACCGTGTTTATTCTTTTTTCATCTTTTTTCTCCTTTAGTCTCTTTTCCTTTCACGGAAGACCTATCTCCCTTTACTATTTTCGATAGTAATAGTTTACTATTACCGATCCTCTATACTTTGGGTTTCTCACCTAAGAGAAACCATTCATATTTAAGCTTGTGGGTCTGATCTATTTCACTTAGAGCAAGATTTAAAGCTGTGCCTCCTTCTCACCTTGCAACAACCCAGTATCTCACCCTATCGGACGGTCTGTGAAACAACACTGACAAAAGAGTAGGCAAATTATTAGTTTACACATTTTCTAAGGTCATATATAAGCACGGAATGCATATTCTTAAAAACGAATCAACCTTACAAGTAAAATTCCTACGTCCAACATAGTGACAACCTGACCAGAGTCCCGTACATGCCATGCACTCTCCACGGCAAAGATAAACCTGGCTTAAAACCAGAAGATCCAGGCCTGTCGGTAATCTAGGGGGCCTGCTAACTGAAGCAGCCCCGCCTTCTCAGCCCCCAGCAACTGAGGCACAGCTCGGAGCCGTCCCCTAGACCCCAGGGCCGTCCAGATGAGTGACGTAAAGCCCCCGCAAATCCCTAGCAGGCGAGCGCCGGGGGGCCAGCGGGAGCAGCCGCTCCTAGCGAGGCTCTTTCTAGCCTTCCGCTCTGCCCCTCCAGCCCCCGCCACCCCAGCGTCCTGACCACACCTGAGGGGGGCCCTAAAATCCCGCGCCCCTCACCAGGCCGCCACCACCCCCTCCTCCCCGAGACGCCCGCCAGCCCCTCACGCTCCCCGCCTCAAGCCACGCGCAGCCGGCTGCCCCCCGCGCCCACCCACGCCCCGACGCGACCTACTCACCCGCGGTAATAGGCTTTCACGCGGACCTGGTGAGAATGGTCCCCGCCGCCGCCGCCCGCCACCGTGTGGGACATGGTGCAGCTGTCCCTCTGGGTCGGCATCTCCTCACTCCCCCGCCTGGACGCGGGAGGCCGCGGGAGAAGGGGGCGCGCCGTGGAGGACTCGGCCGCCCGCGGCAGCCCGAGAGCTACGGCCGCCCGATCGCCTGCCTGCCCGGCCGCCTCGCCCACCCAAGGGTCGCCCGGCCCAGGAGCCAGAACGGCGCGGCTCCTCCCACCGCCCGCGGCCGCGGCCGTCCCCACCAGCGCCCAGGCCCAGCCCGCCGCCCGCCGCCCGCCGCGGCCCCTCCCACCTCGAGCGCTCCGGAGGCCCACATTCCAGGGGAGGGCGGGCGCTACCTTCCAGCACGCTCCAGGAGCCGGAGCCCGACGGCACCATCCTTCCGGGGTGGAGACGAGCGGGGGGGGGAGAACCAGCCGCTCGCTCGAACACCGCGTGCGTCCGCGGTCGGGCTTTTCATTGGAGTTGTGATAGGAAATGCACGGATGTATTTCTGTAGAATCCCTCTCCCCATATGAAAAATGGTATGGGGACAGATGCAGTGGCATCTCACCCCAGGTCCCGACTTGGTCGCGTCCGCGGTCGGCCGACTTGGCACCCCGGTTAGATGTGCGGTGCGGGATTCTGGGATCTGGAGTCCGGGGGGATTCTGGGACTTGTTCCTACGTGTGCCGCGCCGGGCGCGCCGTGTTGCTGGTAGTCAGACTCGCCAGCGCTTCCCGGGAGCTGTGGGCGTGGATTTGAGGGCTTCGTCACGACCTCGACGGTTCACTGATTAATTCTCCTGTCAATTGCGTATATTGTTTTCAAGGAACAGGGTTTGGTTACCTGTTCAGTATAGCCTTTAGAAGAAGTTAGTAATATATGTGACGGATATGGTGGAGAGCAGACTTCGTTCAGAGCCTCTACGTGGAGACCCTAGTATGTTGACACTGCATGAAATAGGTAACAATAAATACCTAACCAGCACACCACTAGGCAACCAGTCGATTACTATTTATTCTGTTGACAGCAGCTAACCACGGATTAGAAAGAATTTATTCTCACATTCTGTTCGATAATGTGTTTTTTATTTTTTGCTTTATTTTTTTTTGCGGGGGGGGGAGAGTACCGGGGCTCAAACTCATGATCTTGCGCTTGTCAGGCAAGCGCTTATGCCACTGAGCTATCTCCCAGACCCTAGAAACAATTTATTCTTATAATTTACTCTCTAGCTTTCCTTGGGTCATGGATGTGTCACACTTTATACAGTATTTCACTTATAGGTAGTATGAATCCAGTCCTTCCTATCATGCTACCGGCGTGTGCTTAAACAGTTAGAATTGAGCTGGAGAGATAGCTCAGTAGCTTACGTGCCTGCCTGACAAGTGTAAGGTCCTCTGAGTTTGATTCCCGGTACCAAAAAAAAAAAAAAAAAAAGGAATCATTGGGCTGGGGAGATAGCTCTAAGCACCTGCCTGGCAAATCCAAGGACCTGAGTTCCACCCCGGTACAGCATACCTTATTGTCCTGGAACCCCGGAGTCATGCTGGCCACTGAAACCAGGCCTGGTGGTGTATGGTTGTTATCCCAGCGCTGGGAAGGCTGAAACAATAGGATCACTATGAGACCCAGAAGGAAGGAGGGAGGGAGGGAGGGAGGGAGGGAGGGAGGGAGGAAAGATTTTTTTAAAAAAGCTAGAATAGTAATTTTTTAAAATAGCCACTTTAGTGATAATAAATTAGATTTAGGAGATTAACTTTTAGAGTTATGTGTGACATTTAACTTAGTATTATATCCTCCAACTGCCCTAAACTTGGATTATGTTCTTTATGAAAATGTCCGTTGAATAACTTCCTATCAGATTTTTGACAACTGAGAACCTGCATCAGCATGTTAAATTTGGATTGATTATGCAATGTATCTGCAGTTAGATGGCCACATTTTAATTGCATTATTGGAAAATTTGGTATGCTTGTCACAAATTGAACATTATGCACTAGAAAAGTAAACACAGAATAAAAATTTATAGAGAAATGAAAGAACAGGCTAGAAAGCTTTCTCTTTTTTAGTCTTCATTCTTTAGTACTTTAGAAAAATCCTTAGGTATTGATCTCATAGCATATTTTCAAGGTGACCATTGTTAAGAGAAAAGATTTATTGCTTACTTTGTTGTCTACAAGAATCTGTAAATGTTTATAATTTGCATCAGTACTCCTACATGTAAGTAAGTTTTCATTTTCTTAAAGGTGGGAACTGTTAAGAGCAGACTGTGATGGCACATGTCCTAGACCCAGGACGGTCACAGGAGGCTGAGGCAGGAGGATCATTGGAGTCTGAAACTAGCCTGAGTCGTGAGACCTTGTCTCAAACAAACAAAAAGAAGATGAGAGTATCAGGGAAAACATGGTGTTACATTTTTAATAGCTTTTTTGAAGTATAACTCAACATGCAAGTCACCCACTTCAATACAATTCAATAGTTTTTAGTATATTCACAATGTTGTGTAATCCCACCACTATCTAAACTCAAAATATTTTCATCATCCCAAAAAGCAACCGCATAGCCATTAGCAGTGACTTCCCATCCTCCTTGCCTTCTGGCAACATAGCTTTGGTTTTACTATGGATTTTTCTATTTTGGACATTTGACGTAAATGGAATCATACAGTATGTGACTCCTTTAAGAGATTTGAGTTCATCCATGTTGTATTATGTACTAATACTTCTTTCATATGGTTAAATAATGTTCAACCACATAGGTATACTATTGCTGCCATGAACATCCTGTACGTTTTGTGTGGGCATGTATTTTAATTCTCTTGAGCACGCACCTATGGGTAAATGGCAGAGTCATACTAATTATGTTGAACATCTTGGGGGATGCTGAAGTTATATTCCAGAGTGGCTGCACTATTTTACATCCCTGCCCATATTTGTCATTTTCCTCATTTTTGTATTATAACCATCCCAGTTGCCTTTTATATATTTCCATAGAGAAATGTCAATTCAGATCCTTTACTTCCTTGCCTATATTTGTCATTTCCTCCTTTTTTATATTATAATCATCCCATATATCTCCTTAGAAAAATGTCAAACCAGATCCATCTAAATCACACAAAAATTCCTTAAAATTAGTCTCTCTTCATTGAAATATTGGCTGTTTATCTTTTTGTTTTGTTTTTTGAAACATGGTCTTGCTATGTAGTGGCCTCTATGGCTGGCCTCGAACTTGCTGCAGTCCTCCTGCCTCAGCCTCCTAACTGTTGGGATTATAGACACGTACCACCATACCTGGCTATTTTGTCATGTTAACAAAAGTAAACGTTCCAGTTTATGAAGATGGCATGATTTCCCACCTGTCAGTCTTCTTTGATTTGTTTCAAGGATAGAGTTTCAGAATATAGTTTTTACATTTTTTAAAAAAATTATCCCTAAATTTTTTGGTTTTTGTGGGGTTTTTTCTTTTTGATTTTTCGAGACAATGTTGCACTATGTAGCTCAAAGTAGACTTAAACATGGCCAAACTGTACTTTCCAGACTGAGGCAGGAAAATCTCTGTGAGTTTGAGGCCAGCCTCAACTATGTAGTAAGCTAAAGGCCAGCCTGAGCTACATAGCTACATAGTGAGACCCTGCCTCCAAAAATGAAAATAAAACAAACAAAAATTTAAATGACTAAACCGAATATGTAAACCTTTACATTCAGTTTGATTTAGCTTTACCAGTGTATTCTTCAGCCTGTATTAAAAATGAACTTTGCAAAAAATAAAAAATAAAAAAACACA